TATTGTATCAGGTTTTTTTTTAATCAGTTGCTAGCCGGTAGCTTGTTAATACACTTACACCATCCTGTTTAACACATCAATTTGTGGTGGTGTTAATGTAGCGGAACAAACCCAAATTCATTTTACATATTGATATTCCAGTATCGGAGAAATCAAGTAACAGGCGAAAATCGAGCTCAAAATCTGGTTCTTGGGAACAGGCAGCGATGGTGCCACNAACTGTTACAGAAAGTGTATTTTACACATCTCATCCACTACAGGGCAGATTGGTATATATAACTGTTATAGAAAGTGTATTGTACACATCTCATCCACTACAGGGCAGATTGGTATATATAACTGTAACAGAGAGTATAATTACACATCTCATCCACTACAGGGCAGATCGGTATATATAATTGTTACAGAAAGTGTATTTTACCCATCTCATCCACTACAGGGCAGATTGGTATATATAACTGTTACAGAAAGTGTATTTTACACATCTCATCCACTACAGGGCAGCTTGGTATATATACTGTTACAGAAAGTGTATTTTACACATCTAATCCACTACAGGGCAGATTGGTATATATAACTGTTACAGAAAGTGTATTTTACACATCTCATCCACTACAGGGCAGATTGGTATATATAACTGTTACAGAAAGTTTATTTTACGCATCTCATCCACTACAGGGCAGATTGGTATATATTACTGTTACAGAGAGTATATCTACACATCTCATCCACTACAGGACAGATCGGTATATAACTTTAACAGAAAGTGTATTTTATACATCTCATCCACTACAGGGCAGAGGTATGAATCCAACAAGTGATTCCATAATGTTCATTACATAAAACGATAACACAGCGTGACTAAGTGTGTATATATACTTAATGAAGATAGTTTATTGTTTAAATCATACATAGTAATTTTCTTCATCACACATTTATTAATTCAGTGACTGTCACAAATATATGCACAATATACATTTATAAGAAATTGCTAAAGAAAACAGTAAACAGTTACGGACCGATTATCACGCAAGCCACAGACATGTATACATTAACAAACTCTTCTAATTACTAGAAACTATGTACTATATATTTTATATTATATATTAACACTCAAACAAGCTAAAGTCACTCATATTACTTGATAACAATCAACTACGTCCAAGTTCAAAATAGNATATAGGATTGAAGATTTGTAAAATACACAAATTTATTTAGGGAATGTGAAAATAGATTTGATATACAGCACAGATTTATTTAGGGAACGTGTTAGAAGTTTTATATTAGATTTGATATACAGGATATATTTATTTAGGGAACCTATGCGTAGATGTAGTATTATATTTGTTATAAAGCACAGATTTATTTAGGGAACTTGTAAGTAATTTTAGTATAAGTTTTGTTATAAAGCACAGATTTATTAAGGTAACGAGTAAGTAGATTAAGTATTAGATTTGTTATAAAACATAGATTTATTTAGGGAACGTGTTAGTAGATTAAGTATTAGATTTGTTATAAAGCATAGATTTATTTAGGGAACGTGTTAGTAGATTTAGTATTAGATTTGTTATATAGCACAGATTTATTAAGGGAACGTGTTAGTAGATTTAGTATTAGATTTGTTATAAAGCATAGATTTATTTAGTGAACGTGTTAGTAGATTAAGTATTAGATTTGTTATAAAGCATAGATTTATTTAGGGAACGTGTTAGTAGATTTAGTATTAGATTTGTTATATAGCACAGATTTATTAAGGGAACGTGTTAGTAGATTTAGTATTAGATTTGTTATAAAGCATAGATTTATTTAGTGAACGTGTTAGTAGATTAAGTATTAGATTTGTTATAAAGCATAGATTTATTTAGGGAACGTGTTAGTAGATTTAGTATTAGATTTGTTATATAGCACAGATTTATTAAGGGAACGTGTTAGTAGATTTAGTATTGGATTTGTTATAAAGCACAGATTTATTTAGGGAACGTGTTAGTAGATTTGGTATTCGATTTGTTATAAAGCATAGATTTATTTCCGGAACTTATAAGTGGATTTAGTATTCGATTTGTTATAAATCATAGATTTATTTAGGGAACGTGTTAGTAGATTTAGTATTCGATTTGTGATATAGCACAGATTTATTTAGGGAACCTATAAGTAGATTTAGTATTAGATTTTTTATAAAGCATAGATTTTTTTCCGGAACCTATAAGTAGATTTAGTATTCGATTTGTTATATAGCACAGATTTATTTAGGGAACCTATAAGTAGATTTAGAATTAGATTTTTTATAAAGCATAGATTTATTTACGGAACTTATAAATGGATTTAGTATTCGATTTGTTATAAATCATAGATTTATTTAGGGAACCTATACGTAGATTTAGTATTAGATTTTTTATAAAGCATAGATTTATTTAGGGAACCTATACGTAGATTTAGTATTAGATTTGTTATAAAGCATAGATTTATTTCCGGAACTTATAAGTGGATTTAGTTTTCGATTTGTTATAAATCATAGATTTATTTAGGGAACCTATACGTAGATTTAGTATTAGATTTGTTATAAAGCATAGATTTATTTCCGGAACTTATAAGTGGATTTAGTATTCGATTTGTTATAAAGCACAGAAATATTTAGGGAACGTGTTAGTAGATTTAGTATTGGATTTGTTATAAAGCACAGATTTGAGATAAGTTTGTGATAGGCCTGTAACAGAAAAAAGAATAATACTTTGATGAGAAAAGTAGTAGATTGAAATGAAATGGTAAACCGAATGGAGTATGCAATTTGAAACTGAAGAGATTAGGAAATGATATTCATGTACAAATGACATTGTTTTAGTGGTGTAGTGCAAGTCAGGGAAATAATTACCCAGACCATATACTAAGTATTATCTAATTAAAATAAGTTATCAAAGGTGGTGATTCTTCCTGACCTTCTATTACACCTGTCAGTATCTATATATCACCTTATATATAAATGCATTCGCTCAGTCTCTAAACTGCTTAGAAGTGACATTTTAAATGACATGAATACTAAATGTGTGACAGGCATACTTAATAATTTTAAATTATGTTAATTTTGGTATTCTTAGTTCTTCAATTGAAATGGTTATGTACCCTTTTTATTTGTTCACTTTTTCCACTCTTGTAACACATGATGTCGCATTTACATTACATAAACAGTAGATAGGGAAATTTTCCCTAAGGGGAATCAAATACCTCATTTTCAAAAGTCCGAGTCCCTATAAAACATAAAGCTAGTGTTTTAGCTAGAAATGGATAGTGGCTATTCAAAATAGTGCTGCCATTTGGTTTGGGCTAAATCAAACATAAGTTTAACAAAACATTAATAGTTTTTGTCTTATATAACATGGAGCCAATCCCTGTGCGGCACGTATGGTACATATCACAGGAGAGTTATACTGAAAGTCCAAGGTTTACAGAGTAACGAGTCTGTCAGACACTTAACCAACTTAGCCAATCACAATGTTTTGAAAAATATTTATAATACTTACAATGCACTTTAAACAATATACATTCATAGCATGACTATATCATATGAATTATTATCAGGCAAATACAAATATATGTGTGTTTCCTGTTTCGGCTTTAAAGACAATAGGGCAAGTAGGTAGAACAAACATTTTTTTTTTCATTTTATTTTGTTTCTGGTGAGGAAAATCTCCAGTGAATGTTATGTTATTATTGTTTTAATTATGTATGAAAGGCACCAAATATATAATTTGATTCCTGTAAAATAAATGCACAAATTCATTCACAGTTTTTGTGTTGAGCAGACCCAAACGACAAATTCAAGTAGATTATTATTTGACCCACCTAATTGTTTATGGAAAAACCAACGTAATTTACAGTAGTGCTACCACTACTGTTACATATCTAAATTATCTCTACAGCTGGACATTAGTTTTTAGTAGTCCAAACTCCACTGATGAACTTATGTTCTCTTTTGTATTACTGATACTTTCTGTTCTCAATTTCCACTGCCTCCAGTTCAAATTAATTGAACAACAAAATAAATATATTTAAATTTACACTATAATTACAACACAAGTATCTTAATCTGTCATAAATTATACAAGTCTTCACTACTGTGAGCTCAATCTCCCACTTCGGACTTAATTATCTCTAACTATAAGCTGTAAAACTGCACAGATCTACAAACTACAGCTTCCTAATTCTCACTTAAACTCTAGCTTTCTAACTCTTCTCTATATCTCGCCACCTTTCAACTGGATTACCCTAACTCAACCTCCTTCCTCAAGACTCTTTAACTAACTCAGTTCCCCAATCCAACTCTCTTCTCCGACTTCGACTCCCAGGCTGAACTACCTTACTATCTGTCCCTTAGCAAAATCGTGCTACAATAAAAATGTTGATTCATTACAGTTGTTAATGCTGCTTAAATCCTGTTACAAACTGACTATAAATCCTGCTAAATTTGATTCTGGTAGTGGTCAGCATATCAGCTGGAGGCACAAACACTGCCATCACAGACTCCACTACCTCCATCTAGACTACAGACAGTCACACTAATTTACAGATCCCAACCTATATCATAACCCCAATTATCTACGGCTACTTAGCTACTATCTTCAAATAAAACTCTGACACAGATCACGCTTATAAAATGCATAACAAATTATATGTACACTTTGAACAATTAAACTGCTAATAAATGCATTATAGTGACTGTGCAAAACCAAAAAATGTATTAGGGTCGGCATGAAAAGTAGGGTCGGTCCGGAAACGGGAAACACAGTTAGATTTTTATTTGGCTTTATGATAATTATCGCTGAACACCAATGCTATATATTCATTTTCAATGTCTACATATTAATATACAAAGTTTGCATACGATTGAATTAATCAATAGTACACAACAAATTATTTTAATTACAAGGGCACTGCCACGTTTAACAGTTTGTCATCATCTGCACTTGAGCTCTGCCTTATTGATATTGATATGCACATGTATTTGCTAACCAAATCTCATAGCAATCTGATCATTTCAAAAACGACTGCATGGAAGCTATTTTTGAATGGACAGGCATATAAATGAAAGCAGAAAACATTCCAAAATGAAAAAAATGAGACATTTCTACATCATACATTACATACAGACTAAAAGTATAAATTGGGGTATACTATAATGTCACAACTGTACAGTTCGGTATAAGTGTCACTATTAGGCTGGCTAATGCCTAATACAACTGTACCCGTATACAATTTACCTCCTTCCCTACTGTATGATGTCCATGATAATCGGGGTCTCAAGAACAAGATTTGGCTGACAGTGCCGGCTTTTTCATTGCCAACTTAATTGACCTTTGCTAGCTACAACTCTCAGTGGCAGAACAAATTCTTGCAGCCTCCTCCCAGGAAATGTTTCGGATGTCCATTACAATCCTTGTTATTATTTCTTTCATGATAACATGTTTGACATACTGCTCTCCGTAACTGAAAGCAACATGGAATGTATTAGCAAGAGTAAAGTTCAGTATAAAACATCACTTCAATTGTATTTGGTGAATAATAGAAATCCTCCTGACTTTCATGATAACTAAAATGTTCGACTTCATACGTGACTAACTTCATGTCAACAGCAACAAACTTAAACAAAGATGAACATGAATTTTTCTTTGAAGGATAAACATTCAAACAAATTTGGAATCGCCTTGTTCACAGATAGATTCAGACAAATGAGATTAATGAGATTAACAAATGTTAATTGGAAAACTTGACGGACTGAGGGATGACGGATAGGTAAATAAAAACAATATTCCCCGTTTCGGTAAAAAAGGGTTTATAAGTGATACACTGTGTTTGTTTTGATAATTGACTAAACAACTATATATCTTATATACATAACGTCTCTTAATGTTTTTTTTTACATACATTGATGATTCTTTGAATCTCGCCAAGAGTTCTTTTCCTGCACCACGGACTGTAGTCCAATTTGTGAATATGCTAATTAAAAAATAAAATGGAATTAAACAGATTTTTAATTGTAACCGTTTTAATATCTGGTTCTCGAAATTTACACTAACATTAAAAAGGACATGGAATTCTTTCCCAATTTCCAGAAAAAGGGCATAAAAATGATAAGAAAACTACAAAGTACAGTTGAATCCAATTAAGGTTAAAAATCCTCAAATTAAAATTTCTGTTAGAAAGAGGACAGTTGTTGACATTTTTTTAAGACAACCATCCATAATTTGAAACTTGATATCATTAGTAGTATTAGTTATTTGAATTTTCATTTTTCCTTTGATATACATTTTGTAAAATATGAAGACTTTATATATTACCAAAAAATGCTTATACTTCCATAGCCTTAGACTTTTTCCTTATACGTACACACTATTCTACTAGACTTAACACAACTTTAATGCAGTAGCTAGACTATCAAGATGGTGATCAGTTTCATACATGAAATTCATTGTTCACTTACTCTTTTCTGACATTTTTTAAAAATGTTTTCGTTATCCAGACTTCTAGAGCCACATATGTCTGCAATGAGAAATATTAGGCAATTACAGTACGCTGCAAAATATCACGTAGTATGCATTCACGCCTTGACATTACGTTAAAGTCTGATAATGGATCTTCCTCTTTTATAACGGAAAATGAATTAGCATATAATGTAGAGGTCCTTTCAAGTTGTTATTTTTATGCTATATTTTCTGCAAATCAGATAGTGCTTTATATATACTTTAATATTTACCTGTGATTTGAACTCTGTTAGTCCATAGCCACAAGTGGGTTTGAAGATACCTTTCACAAAGTTGTCATGATATGGACTGGAAAATAATACAATGAAAAATATTTTAATGCATCGAATAAAAATCAAAGCGCTGAGAGCGCTGATAGACGATGAAATATGATTTTATGTAATGCATTACCATTCTGATCTACCAGTGACTTCCCTTTATGATTTTATACGGTACAGTCACAAGGCATTGTTTGTCAGATACAATATCTTGTTAACATTATAGACTTGAATACATGCTTCACTGCAAATTGACAGATAATGTCTTTCCAAATCTGACCGACTATCGCATAAGAAATAACAAGCAAAACAAAAAACAAAAAATTGTTTTAAGCAATGTCAGAAAAATATAAAAGTGGTCAATGTTAATCCAGTTGATTTTTTTTTTTTTGTAGAATTGTTGTTTTGTGCTTGTGTTTTCCATTGTTTATACAATTAAGTTGTTTTGTGTGTTAAAAATTAAAAAAAAAATCAAACAAGATATGAATTTCCAAACAGTTAAACATGAGTATTAGAGTTTATCCAAGTTGCTTCAGACTAGTTTGAAAAAGAAGCAATCAACAAATAGGATAGCAGACTGATGTAAAAAGGTACTATTTGTCGAAATGATTGTGACCAACTCCGAGATAATTACCTCATTACTTTTCCAGCTGCAAGCAAAGGAATTGTTGAGTAGAGTTTTCCAATCTGCAATAATGATAATATTTATATTGATTTCTTAATCATTTTGGTCAATAGTTTTGAAATATATAGTGGATTGCAACGATTTACTTTTCACCACAAAAGTAGTTTGTATAAAATCAAACAGAAGTTTTTATGAAAGGACTTAAAAGAGTCATTTCATTCTTTTAACTTACTGTTTCTTCAATTTCCCCCATGCTTATTTTTCCGAATCCTCCTTCCTTTTCCTCATCATCACTAATATCTTCGACATCATCATCCATATCCTGCAAAAAAAACAAAAAAAAAGTACTAAATACAGGGCTTATTGTTGTTTTGCCACAGTTTAACATATTCGTATCCTGTTGCGCCACCAAGACATTGTTTCAAATTGCATTTATTATCATTTGATAATTGAAATTAATCATTTAATTCTTAACATAAAGCATGCACATTTTTTGTGCAAAACAAAAATAGTAAAGTGTCGTCTTATATAGGTAAAGCAAATGTCTACAACGTTTCATTAAAATGCTTTCGGTACAATACGAATGTAGGTTATATAACTCAATATTGTAAGTAATGGAAAAGGATTTCAACCAAAAATTTCAGCTTTTGGCTTTGCGACCTAGTAGAAAATGATGGACAATGCACGACATCATATGCATGTAGTTCAAAATTACATTAAAAATCAGAATTTGGTTAAAAATTATTTTAAAATCAAAATAATCTTCCAACCTACACTTGTATATATTTTTAAATGTTTGCGTAACATAGCAGGTTAAAAATAAGATAAGACAAATTGAAACAAAACAAATTGTACTAAACAATCTCACCTCTGGCCAAATTAATGGTGGCACTTTTTCCAGTGGCAAAACGGGAATCTCCATATTCCTCTCCCATTTCTCAATGTCATTCTGTTGGAGAGTTTAAACAATATAATAATTTATTTGTAAGCATAATAAAGAAAATAATAATTCACACTTCCAAATGACTGTACAATTAGCTTTTGAATTTCATTGTAAATGATGAATTTGCCACTTACTTGTTCCATCTCCTTCATGACAGCATCCATTTCTTGAGCCGTTTTTCCTATGTAACAACCCTCTCCTTGGTTTACACTGAATAATGTTCGGGAAGCAGACACAATATGAGTACATATAACTGTTTTTACTTGGATAATGATATTTTGAAGACTGTATAAGCAACGCAAATAGACTTTAAACGGTTTTTAGATACACATGAAGCATTGATTTCTTTCGTCTAGATAACAGCGGTACATATTATTAAAAGATAATTTGTTTTATCTAGCATTACCTTTTCACCTTTCCCTGATTTGTAAATGTTGTCCACTGAAACAAGAAATATCGGTTTTGTTGATTCCAAAGTGACATAAGATTTAGATAGAAAATATGTGGCAAAGAACACGAACCTTATAAGCATGATGTGCATATCAATTATGACTATTCTAAAATAGATATTAATAGACATGTTCATAGTGACCAGGAGATGCCTGGTGCCTACGCTTTGCAATAAAAATAAAGTTTATATCTAGTGTCATCAACTGTTGCATTTATTTGCCTTCATATTGGAAAGTCGATTGTTAGATTGCAGATACATATGATAAAAGTGCATAAAGCCAACGGAAGGTTTTATATAAACCTACAAAGAAATAAGCTAATTGTATGTTAATGTGTAATTATTTCTTGGGTACAATGTCATCAATATTCTCAATGTGATACTACATTATGATCTCTGTACTCACGCTTGATCTTTTTCACTGCGTCATACACAAAAGAACTTCTCTTCCTTTTCTGAAATGAGTTGGTGGAGTGATAAATGCACCTTCAATAAGATATACAAACACACGTATTAAAGGTGTCGCATCGTTTTAAGACCGACTGGTCCCTTTGTCAAGCTATGACAAAGCTCGACAAAGGGACCAGTTGGTCTTGAAACGTTGCGACACGTTTAATACGTAAAGTGTTTGTGCAGAAAGTAAAACTTTGAAAAATGTACCTGCTGTATACAAATATTTCTTACAACAAAAAAATGACATTGTATACAGTTTCAGTGAAGAGAACTCAAGAGGCACATTACCTTATGCCAACTACAACCAGCTAGTGAGAAATTCTATAGCTAAACCATACACAATCAATTTACTATATAGAAAGGAGAATTTTCCGACTAAAATAACATGGATGTACAATATATAAGTAAAATGAAGATGGAAGTAGTGCACAAAACACATTTAGTTAAATTTCATAAATATATTCATTTGGTACTGAATTTGAAGTCATCAAGTGAAAACTGGTCCACAAACCCTTATGGTACATGCTTTATTCAATTCATTTTTTTAATAACGTCTGTACAGTACAGACAACACGCTAATTTATGTAATTTTTGGGATGGAAGGGGATGCTGCGTTTCTCAGGACAACAATGAATGCAAATATAGGATGCTTAGACTGGTATGTATTTAAACATAGCCCTCTTTTATTCATAAATGATTGCACTGTTACGGTGGCTATAAATACGGTAAGTGAAAAATTTACCTGTTGGGGATTCAGTCGAAGTTGGTAGGTGTTTCTTTTCTTAGGTTGATCTGTGTTCTGTCAACATATCAGATGGAATAGATAATGGGGTATGTTGGACTAAAATATATTGTTATAGGGAATTATATTCCACTAAGTCTACATGCTGAGACGTTGAAATATGGTTGGAAACATAAGTTGAAACTCTCTAATCACAGAGGCAAAATAAGTCAGCACATTATTTTCAAATTAAAAAAGTTTTATATCTTTGCGATGGAAATTGTTAAACTAAAAACCATTTGACAGAAATCCAACAGAACCACAAGCCGTCAGACTGTATGACGTGTTATGAGATAGGCCAATATTTTGTTCACAGCATAACATATGTCCTTTTTAAATGGTTGGCATAGCTAGCCCACAGAGACACACTTTTGGTACACTGAACTCTCCAGTATTTAACATGTTTCTCACACCAAATTTGGGTACTTACTCCAGGTGAAACAGTAAAGGAGATTTACCGCAGAAGAAAAGGTCAAAAGCCTATGTCACTATGACCTACTTTTGATACGCTGCACGGTAAGAATTCTAGGTAGACTGAATTTGGCGAAATAGCATAAGATATGCTCTGGGCAATCTTTTGGGAAGAAATGATGGTAGAACCTGAACGTATGAAATCCATACAAAAGGATGGATTAAGTAAAGGCAGGGGACTAACAAACAAAGTGAGGAATAATTTTATTACTGTATAATATTTTGTCACAAATTGTTTATATGATAGAAAGCACATGCTCTTACAGACATAATTAATAATATTACCTCTGTTTCATAATCTTTCAGACAAAATTTGCACAGGTATGGATTTGTCTGAATATCTATGATGTTATTGTGCTCTGGAATATCAAGGCATGATTTGTGGAACCACTTTGGACATGAGTCGCATTGTATCTGTAATGATAAAACAGTATTTTTATGACCACAAATCTTGTTAATTATTCATGAGGGTCTTGAATTGCTTTGTATCATGGCTTATCATAGTAAAATCTGCAGCTATCTCTCATCAAAAATAAAGATAAAAGTAACCACATTTTGCTCCTGACTAACACAACTTAACAATAGGAAAATGCCGTCCATGCTATAAAGGCTTTTAACAACAATTGCTTATGTGACATAACGATAAAATAATAGTAATGTTGTCGACCACCATCTCTTGTTGGCTGTAGTCTGTTCCTTCACTTGCATGCACCGTTGCTGGTTGTCGAAGGAGAAGTTGAAATCAAAGTTAAACTGAAAGCAAATGATGACCAAAGACCAAAGAAAGGAAACTAATTTAAGTAAATCTATTGAACTCATTAAAAATGCTTGATATGATTGCAAAACGTATTCTAGACCAATTAATCATAACGTGCTATCGGGCATTATTTAGTTTCGCTGGAATACCTTTCGTAATCATATTCACAATTATCATCATTTTTAAATAGTTCAATGGTTCTTCATGAGTAACATCATTTACAATGTACATGCATGTTCAAATACGAATACTTATTGACTAAATAAAAGAGTTAACAAAATAACTTTAATTGTCCCTTTCTGACTCATAGGATACACATTTACAAAAGATATTTGCCTCACCCAGATAGTTTCTGCTGTCTCTGTAAAGCAACACTCCCTGCAATAGCTTTCAAGTGGCTCTGTAAATTCAAAAAAAAATTCTTGTATAAATTAATCGATAAAACAGTTAAAGTGGCATGAAGGTATCGCACATTAGCCCCCAAGTGAAATAAAAAATTAAAGCGGAGTTCGAACAGTCTTGCAACAGTTAAAATTTTGAAGACATTTATTTGTCTCTATCGCATCTATGGCTTACAAATTTAAGTATATGATCGTGCGCACTATTCATCATCGAGAAGATTGGTACCTTAAGCGCGTTTTCTTTGATAATCCAGATGTCAAGCAGTATGTAAACAGGATTATTAAAAAAAAAAAATAGTTCTTTATCTTCTCTTTGATATCTGTGTCATTACAATACTTACTCTAAGTTAGGCATACAAATATAGTTTTCCTCACCAGATATTTCCAATAATTGCTTTGCTATGCCAAGTCTTATTTCTACCAACTCGTTCCGTGCTGAACGGAAGTTCAATGACTGGGCCCAGACAAAATGTTCAGCAAACTGTAGGATACAATTTAATATCACTATCACAAAATGAGTAAATATTGAGTGTAATTTCTTATGCAGCTAAATATATGCATGTTTAAAGTATATACATTAACTCGAGCCAGTTTATAACAAAATATAAATAATGAGATCTGCTCAACATATATAGCATCGAGTCTTTTCCCTGTGTTGTTTATGCAGCATGTGTGCATGCTCCAGTAATTCCTTATTATGCATATTTTCATTGTTATGTTACACTCGATAAAGATATCAAGTTTTAAAACAGTCTTTTAAAATCGCAGGAGGAGACACATTTAAAATTTTCAATTAGAATAAAAAATGGGCACGTACTTTGTTCAAGCTATTTGTATAAGCATATGAGTGACATAAAACGACATGGCTTACATGTAGATGCAAGGGAATCATACGGCATAGCCCCAAGTTTCTAATCTATAAAAGTCAAGACCTCCATTGGACTACTTCACTTTGTTTATAAACAATATCAACACATAACTTGCCTTTAATACATAGACCCCACAAGACACAGAGTCATACTGCTTGATATGACATTTTCTCTCTATCTTCCACTGTGCAGACATTGGAGGACTATCTAATCCGGTGTTGTACCTCTGTAGGAGGAATCTCCTGTAATACACATAAACAAATATACATATGTAGAACTATACATGCAAAAGTTAGACATTTTATTAATTTTAAACCCAAATGCCAATATTTAGTAACATATGACATCCAAAATATGAAAGAATATCAAGGCAAGAAAGTTAATGCCTTAACTAATCAATAAACAAATTGTTAGTAACTTACACTAAATTGTTTAATGTGAGTTCAAGTATGCCTAGGTGACCTGCATGTTCTCATGTCTAAGGAAGTCAGGTTACACGTTTCTTCCGAAATTTAATAAGCAGTTGCTGCATTTCACTAAAACAACATAGGCATGATAAGTATCACAACTATATGTAATTTATACATGAACAGTAACTAGTAGCCAATTAATAGGACACCAAATGCAAGTCTTTGGAAGAGGAACTTTTTTTTTTAGAAAAGTGACATAGAAAGACATTGCACAGTTTAAAAATTTTGATATGATTATCAAAATTGATGAAATATAAGTGATCTGTTCTTTAGCTTGTTATATTTACTTACCTCCAATGCATGAGAAATTTATCCATTCTGGGCTTTGATTCTCCAAGTGGGTTGACATAAAAAATTATTTTTTCTTTGGGGTAAACTGCACATAATGTCCAATGGTCATTGTTTTCATTGACTGCCCCTATTATTATATCATAATCTGATAAGGTGACCTGAAATACAAGCACAAATATTAATTTATGGGACTACAACAATCGGTACTACCGGTTCAGGAATGTCACCATTCAATAGCTGTTTTGAATACATGTACAAAACCAATTTTCACATGTATACACGAAATAGTATAAAAACAGAGCAGCTTGTTTGTGCCAAGTTATAAGTTCAGCACATGTCATTCACGTGCACCACCATTAATGACTTTGACTTTTCAGAGGACCAAATTTGTTAAGATGCATTAATTTAACACATTTAAGGTCATGATAAAGCAGTGAAGATTAAAAGCAATATTATTGTTGTTTTTTCATTAAGTATGAAATTTAGGATCTGTGTAATAATAAATACAAACCTGTCTAAGACCGCCATGAACTGACGATGCATCTTCAAATATTGACTTTGCTATAGCCGTCTCCATATGAAACACCTTCTTGTGCTTATATAAAATAATTAACAAATCATCAGATAGTATTGTAGTTAAAGTACATTTCTCCTCCTTTTGTGTCTACATGAACCGGGTTTGTACAATTACTGAAATCTTACATGATACACGAATTAGCTTTCCAAAATACCAACACTGCTTCCAATACATTGATTAGTCGAAGTTTAAGTGAAGCTTGGGCTGGGTGGTTATGCGATGTAGAAGCGCTCATTGTTTTGCTACGAATTACTAAAAGTGTGCAATAACTCATTGAATGCTACATACATGTATACGTGCAGTGGTGGATACCTGTCAAAAGCTTCAGCCGAGACTTATAATATTCAATGCTGACTTTGCCAAACTCATTCAAAATCTCACCTGGCAGGAAATTACCTAATTGTACCAGCAGCTTTGCATGAGCCTTTTAATCTCTGAATAAATCAAATCCGGAATATGACAAATATTCTTTTCGCCTAACACCACCTACATCACAGCAAGCACATGCTTTCGACATAGCGGTCGGATATGACAGTGAGTCAGTAAAAGTGATCAAATTCACCACTTTGTGGCTCTAAAAAGGGGGAAAACACAGAACATCATTTGTCTGAATTACAAAATTAACAACAAAAAGGCAATATCCATTGATCAACTGGAATAAATATAATTTAAACGGTTAAGTTGGAACATCAATTTGTAACTCTGAGTGATAACATCTGTGTAACACTGTTACAAATAACATCATTAGCACAGCAATTCTTAAAAAGTGCTCAAAAAGTATTATTCATTTATCTACTATGTTTAACTTAAAAATGAAGTCCACTACCTTTCAAGCGTGATGTTTTATCTTCAGTTATGTCCGCTGTAGTTTCATCTGTATCAATAACATCTATTTCGCCGTTTTGTGGCTCTAAAATGTAAAAACACAGAACATCATTTGTCCTTAAACTTAAATTTTCAATGCCAATAAAGCATAAGCTGTAAAATGGGATAACCATTTTTGGGAAAGGTATACTTCAGGATAAATGTGGACACAAATAACGAGGAAATAAGAGTTAAAAAGTATTTCTACTAAACATGCAATGATAGCAAGAATATGCTGAATGAATGTATTACATTGCTACTTTTGAAATGTACCTTTCTTTTCTTTCTCTTTACAAGAATCTTCAAAAACAGGATCACCTGAAGATATGAAACGCCAATAAAAACACAATCAAATGATATGATTTGTATGATCATATGTCATGATGACAAAGAATTGATTTGTGAACTCATTTGAAGTATCATTGACATGATTATGTATGTATATAGCTAGGGGGAAAAGTACTCAGTAGAGAAAGGACAATGATTTTTATCTCAACAAGTTTGCAATATAGATGAGATTACATGTGGATCATTTGGTGAAAATTAATTGAAAATAAAACTTGGCAGAGCAAAGACAATGGTATTTATAGTGCTAGACATACATGGATAACACTACATGCCTTGCTATTACAAGACCATGACCATTAACAGGGGTCCTTTGAATAATTTCTTTATTCAATCGGAATTTACCAAAATATTGTGTTGATAAGTTTAGTTCATATGGTGAACTGTATTCTATATTAAATCGCAAGGTTCTAATTGGTAAGTGCGGAAAATATCAAAATACCATGTTTAGCTGTCAAAAATGACTTTTTCACCTTTGATTATGGATATAGCTGTTTTATAAGGAGAGATAGCACAAAAATATATAATTTGATGGTTATTACTGTACCTCTCATTTCTTTTTCTGCCCGTGGTTCCTCCAGAACAGGATCTAAAGATATAAAATGTCAAACGACAAAACAAGTCATTTTACTGATGAACAATGTTCTCTGCACCACAGCATAACCTTAACTTCGAGCTTTTACACTTTTGAACACAAATGAACAATTACAAATGACCACTATAGGAAATTAGTCTCCCTGGAGAGATTAAAACATTAAAGAAGAATGAGTAAACCAGTCTAATTATAATAAGTAAAACACAGATAGTACATGTAACAGGTTGTCAGTATATGCACAAGTTTGACAGTAATTGGAAATCTGGAAAAAACAACAACACACAGAATAGGCCCCGCCCCCCAATACACAATACGATACACTTACTTTTCCTTCTTTTCCTTCTTATTTCTTGGTCTTGTTCTTCTTTCCTCTTCTTAAAGGAAGGCCTTTGATGTTGACAATGTGTTTCTGTGACAGGCAATATGCCTCATGCAGGTGTTTTAGAATAGAGTTCAACCCTATCGGTGAAGAGATGTTATAGAGGTCACTCTGGATTTGCTTCATCAAATCGAAGCACTCGTTTCTTATTTTCGAGTCTTCTTTGGTTAGCTCTTCTTCACCGACATCATTGCACTCTATACTGTGACTTGCCTGCACTTCAGCGCATGCGCTATCAATGTTGTTCACAAAATCAACATCAACAGTATTAAAGATGGTTTTTGTGAACGATTCGTCCAACAAATCCCAACTATAATCTGACCGGCCAAGTATTGCAAGCATGTGCTTGCAGGGCCACTGGTGCTTGTGGAAGTCCGGACAGTTGCAACTAGGCATTTTGCCTATAAGCGTGACGCTGTAGCTCCTGTCCGACTCCCTTGATCTTACGGAAAAATTTCCTTCCTCCACCTGCTGATATGTCACGTCATCTGTTGATGCCAAACTCAGACGTGTCATACAGTGGGACACAAATGCCTTTGGTCGCCCTACCAAAAAGTTTGGCACATCTGTGTGATATGACCGATGGCCCTCCAAACACTGCACGTTTCTCTCAATAAACCTGAAAGGAAATCAAATTTCGCTCAGCTGAAGGCAATATCTAATATTTTTGAAATAAAAACTGACTTAACAATTAAAAAAGATACAACTGGCTAAGAACTTTGATGAACCCATATGATTATGAAATCATTCTGTTGTTAATATTATCCCATCAGAGTAGAAAATGCAGTGCAAAACTACTCACAAAGGTGCCAGACAATAGGTTTACAGCAAAATAAATCTGCAAGTTACTCTTTGAACATACTATTTCCCTTACCGATGCGTAAGAATAAGCTTTATATACAAAAGACACATATCTCAGGCATATTATACCTTCTCTAAAAATATAAAGTTTGAGCAAGTAAGTTTTGAATGTTAAAGAGCTAGAAATACTTCTATTGTTTTAATGCCATCGGTGAGTATGGCATCACAACACACTAATTCTTGGAGGATTACAGGTACAACAAAATTAGCTATGTAAATATTGTTTTAAGTGGCTACTTTTAGAGAACGTTCTCATTTTCTGCTGAACAACCTTTATTCTAATAGCATCCGTCTGTTTGGGAAGTAAGTATAACAACTTTGTTGTTTATTTGTGACACAGAAATCTGATTACACAGATATGTATCCTAAAAGAATGCATGTATTTGTGTTTGATACCTTTCCTTGCACTGGGGAAGATAGTTGTTCACCAAACTGAAAATCATGTCAGTCAAAGACTTGCCCGGGTTGTCAATGTTTAAGAAGTTCTCCTTCAATTCTCTATGTTGTCTTTCAAAGCCATTAGTAGTATTAACCTTACATTGTCCTGAACTACGGAAGACCTTAACCCATCTCTGAAACAAGCAAAATTGTTCAAGTTTTAATTAATCACCACATAAAAGTCATTCAAAGCATTCAAACAATATGATCAAAGTTATTCTAATATGGGGCGGTATTCACATTCAACTTGCATGGCCCTTTAGACATTCCCCAGTTCAGAATATTTATGTACGTAATTTATAGGTCAAACATGAATTCTCAGGAGCAACTGGTAGAAAGTATTTACATTAATGTGGGCCTATTCTTTTGAAATATCAGCGTTGTATTTACTAATTACAAATATCATTATTATATATATATTTTTCCTTTCAATGTCCCTTATATTCTAATTCTAGATATCATATTACCTCTATTCATAATTAGTTAGGGTATCTAAATCTTCACTGCTTACTATGTGATATTCTTAATGCATCTGATCATTACCATTCTTAATCATATTGACTCATATGTAAACTCATCAAAGCAATTCTCTACATATACATACCCAAGGTACCTACTAATTTGTATTAAAAATATATGTATTACTATTTCTAGCAAGTTCCTATCCTTATACAATATACATTACAACATGTAAGCTGGTATGAATCTGTGTGTAAAACTGTAAGTGAGTACTGCACTAGTTATTTACCTAAAATGATTCATTCATAAGGCCTGCTAAACAAAATGTTGTGTTTCCGCTTTACCATCGACTAACCGCACTTGAAACCTTAATTAATTCTTTTTTATTGTGTCTAAATTTGATTTAATTTTCAAAATTTATTTTGGTTTTTCATTCATAAGCTATGTTCTTTTTTAATAAATATTACATGGTAATCCTATATTTGATCATGAAAATATCATCATTTTTTATTTAAGGTAATGTTTGCTTCATCTCATCAAGGAAAGGGGAGGCAACGCTAAATGTAACAAGAAAAACATGTACATATTTATTCCTGATTTTAACTTAACTCTAATATATTTACCATATTACTGACACAACAGGGGAAGGGTTCAATCTTGCTTTAATTTTAAGATAATAAACCGTGATTATAATGCCCAGGTCTATCAACATCTGAAACAAATCAATTAGTTAGATTAATACATGCCCAACCTTGCTTTGAGTAATCCATTTCTTTTCAATGTAGTTGCTTAAATGCGGCTGTTCCTGGTAAATTGCAGATTCTCTCAAATCTTGAAGGGCAGATTCATAACTGTCTTCAGACTCTGCATTAGCCAAACTTCTAAACCTTACAGAAAATAAATGAGAAGGTTAAGTTCAATCAATATGTTAATATTTAATATAACATCGACATTCATTTAATGTTCACAAGTTCCAGGACGAATTGCAAACAAAGTTAGCAATACTGTGAAACTTGAAACAAGTCTTCAATGTTTTGGTAAGCATGTTTCTGAAAGGCAAACGGACATACTTTTTATTTTGATTATCCTTGTACCAGGGAAGATTCATACCAAGTTTGAAAAAACACGACAGACGAACACAGATAGCAATAGGTCATCAGTCAGGTGAACTTAAACGTGTTTCTGACGTGGCCTGGGAACTTTATTGGCATTCACTTAAAATCATTACAATGCACTATTGATTGGGTAACAAAATATATCGATATAATAAACATTAATTCAAATATTCCCTATGTCTAGGAATACCTACAGTTGCAACACCTCTAACTTCTTATCTAGAAGATTGTTTTTTCCATCATTAACCCAACGTTGCCATGCCTGCTCACGGTGGAAATCGCATAGGTAAACATCACAACCTGTGGTGAAATAAAAATGCAGTGCTTTTTATAAAATCATTTGGCATAAAATCAAAGATCATGTCGGTAAATGATAATGAGCACTGTCAATTTAATTATCTTTGTACATTTATGCAGTTGTTTTTTTGGTTTCACAATTGGGAATTTTAAATGGGAAAATTTGGAAAAAGCGTACGCTTTTTCAGACCAATGTTGTTTAAAACAATTTTCAATGTTACCAATTAAATAATAAATGTATTCAATTAATCTGCAAAGCATTTACTCCAAACACCATATAAAGATGTCACAAGCATATATATGTCCATCACATGTATAAAAAAGGAATGAGTGCAATGATACTTGGTCCCGGTTTCACGAACATTCTTAAGTACATTATCATGCTCGAATTTGAGAACATCAAATCATAAAAGACGTTTGGAAATTTAACATCATTACACACTCTCGTGTTGTCGAATGTGAGCAGGATAACATTTTCTTTTTGTAAAAAGAAATGCTTTTTAAATAGTCATATATATACCAGTCTTACCTTGTTTAAATCAACCATGCGGAATATTTCCAGTTAGAACATTATACATACCGTTAAACACAGACTCCAAGGCACTAATTTCACGTGTATCACAGTCACACATAAAGCTTTGTGGCTGCCATGTGTGGTTCCAGTTGCGGATGATGTTCAAGACTTCTATTAGGTTTGCTTTGGTGTCTCTCCCTAGCAACATAGACGCAACCACTGCAAAGCCAACATTGGTTTGAACACACAGGAGATACAGCGGTAGCTCAAATTTTGACGTGTTGTAAGTGCTGTCCAGTATGCTCATTTCTCTTCCAAACTTCCGGAGTATATTTCTTTGCCAAGCCGTTTGGTGGACAAAGAGAAATGGCATAGGATTTTCATCTTCCTCTTGAGATCTGCATATAATCAAAACACTGTTATTAAGTTTTGCTATGACAATTCAAATAACAACAATATGAGCTTGTTTTACAAAGTAGCAGTAGAGATTGAATGGTTAGATTTTTTTTATTAAAAAGCATGCTTATCATCATTCAAGGAACCTCCTCACAAAGTTTCATGTGAATCGCACCAGAGGAACTGAAGTTCAAAAATGTTTTAAAAGGGAAATATTAGCCAGGTGGCATAGGACTGGTAGTTAGCGCCTGTAAGGCGGCTCCCGCGAATTCCTCAAAACTGTATTGATTTATGTATATGCTAATTGTATCAATTGTACATCTATGTATTATAAAGCGCTTTAGAGTGGCTCATGTTAGCTAGATAGGGCGCTATATCAAATGTTTTATATTGTTTTTATTACTATTAAAACAAAATATGCCAGCTGGCTTTCCATAGGGATAAAATATATTTCAAGGTAACTTTTACTATAATGTATGCATTTCTATGTCTTGTTCCTTGCATCCAGTTTGAATTAATTAGTTGAAATACATATGGAGACATATGAAAAATAACCTAACTTCAAGGAAAAATGGTACATATGTGATCTGTGCAGTAGTCAAATCCTAAAGGGGGTGGTTTGTGGCATAAATATGTATTTCTCTCCTGCGGGGCTGGATTATCTAAGTGCTGATTTATCAGAGGAATTTCTATATGAAGAAGCATTTAGAAAGAAGAATAAAACTACATCTAGTTCACTACAATGGTCTTTATGCCTACACTTCATAACAATTCAACAGTTAATACTGCATTTTTTATGACGAAGACAAATCTTCTCCCTGACGTCCCTTAATAAGAGAAAGGTAGTGTAGGTTACGGTTACTTAAATAAAATACACTGTGCTCATCTTTCTAAATTTCTAAAGGTTTTACCTCATCACATTTGGAATATTGCATCAGATTAGACCTGGACAAATAAATGCGAGAGGATAGATAGATGGATTTATATTTGAAAAGAAACAACGTGTGTACCCTTCTGACAGTTGCGTGCGCATCACCATAATATCTCCCCATTCAATAATTATAAGCATGTATTAAACTTTAATGAGTGTTTACCTTCAAAACATTGTATAAATCTTCATCGACTCTTACTTACGCAATTCTGAGGAAAAAATTTCCATCTGGATCCTCTTTTTGCCATTTTTCTGTACTGGCTTTCAAATTAATCTGCTCATCGTTGGAAAATCTGTTGACATAAAAAGAAAATGGAAATAAATTTGGGTCTTGTCTGCAGTACCAAGGATGCAAGAAACTTTTAACAGATAAATTCTGTTTGAAGCATGACCAACATAAAACCAACACAGGCACATGTTCATAAAGGTACAATTTATATAACTAAATATATCTCACCTAAGGAATATACAGTGAGATGAAAATAATGATCTCCGTTACAACTAACTAAATATGTTTTTCTGATAGATTTAAAATACTTGCCTTGATAGGATACTTTCGCGATATATGTGATTGCGTATCGTCCTTTTTTGGGGGAAATACGACCGATTTGACTTCTGTACATCCATCGTCAATTTATCTGTGCGATACCTGGTTTAAACAGTTTAATGTTCTGTCCATATATGGTGTTTATAAGTATACAATAAGTACATGGGCATTAATAATCGCCTAAATAGACACAAAAACATAAGTTTAAGTAACATATTTAATATTTATAAGATTAAGTTTTCTTCAAATTTATAAGACAGCCACAAAAGTGTTTTAATCAACAGTGTTTTCAGTTACTTATCAGTTTACTTAGCTATGACATGTCATCTTATGATATACTTATATATATGGTTCCTGTTTACATAAGTTCCAATATTCAGAATTTGAAATAACTTAGTTCCTTCAATAACAGTTTCTGAAAATAACATATTATGAAGTAAACTTTAAGATGATCTATTATGATATAATACACTTACCTGTCCAAATGGCGCTCCATTTCTGCAACAGACTTAACACCTTCCCTTGCCATTGTCTTAATGAACATACCCATTTCTTTATTCAGAGGAAGAGAATATCCAGATAACTGCAAAAATTATTATATAATCCATTATGCTCTTATTTATTATTAATTCTTTATTATAAAGTGTGTTTTAACATCCTGGCAAAAGGCCAACATCATATAAAAGTTTGGTCACAAAATATGAGACCGAGACTTTATGTAGCAAGACCAAAAGAATGTGAAAAAGGAGCTGTCTCAGCTGGGCTCAAACCCATGCCCCCAAAGTTCTGCAGGTCAACAGTCTACCACTGAGCTAAAGGGACATGTGTCAATTCAGCTGATCATAGATAGCAGAACCACTGTCTGATTGTGCAATTGCGTAGCAAGAATGATAGTGCTGTGATGTCCCATATTGTTTTACACCATTATACAAATTTTGCTACAATGGACAGATGGAGTAAACTGAGCAAATTGATTTGAAAGCCTAATTCGAAATAATAACCATTATATGACATTCATTTTATTTCTTTTTAATTTACATAGATGACTGTGCATGAGGCTGAATAAGAACTTTTGTGAATAGTCATCTACATCTTCAGTTAGACATATTATGGATCAGTTCCTCTTGGGAAATCACCTGGTGGATGCCTTAAGTGTCTAAAACTAATGCAACAAGAGGCAATTGATTGCTAACAGAAAAGTAATCATTTATCTGAAAGCATTGGAACACTATTTTCATATAACATTGAACTAGCACTCAAAATGTAAATGAATCAAGATTTAGTGAGCATAACATACCTCTCCTTGGAGATGATTATCGTGATCTGATGGGAATGTTGCAATTATTTGCATTTGTTTGTCCAATCCTTCATTCCAAAAGGCAGCCTTAAGAGTTCTTGAAAGCCTCTTTCTGGCCGAGCTGTTTGATTTTGGTGCATTGTTCTATGAAAAAATAACAATTGGCAGGTAATCTGAATTATATTACACATTAATAAGCAATAAGTTGATAAACCACATGAACAAAAATTCGACTAAAATATTCCAGTTGCCTACATAAGTGAAACTACTTAGGTACATAATTAAAACGAGGTCAGATCAAATCCTGGATCATTTATCAGTAGTATGCATATAGTAGCCGTTAAATTGTTCAGATGATTTGCTATGAATTTATTAGCCTTGGCTCGTGGTCAGTGTAANGGGGGGGGGGGGGGGGGGGGGGGGGGGACACTGGCGGTAGTGTTGGGATATTACAAAAACGTAACACTGGCGGCTATATATAAATATTTTTATTTTTTCTGTCAATGTTTAACTTTGATAATATTCTATTATATTTTAAAGGGGAAATTTTACATAATGCAGAATTTTCACCCAGCAGCAGCGTATTTGCAAAACAAATGTATTTTGTGGAACTGTTTTTTGGTTTAATAAAATTCTGATTAAATTGTTGTAAAATTGATAAATCAAATGGCAGCACCTGTTAATTTAACCATTATCATGGTCCTTCTTTTCTACTTAATGCATTGTGAAACTAATATATATGTTTATATTCTTATAAACATATAGTTTTACACCATATATTAACTTTACTTACCTTGAACGCAGGAAAACGCATTATCCTGCGCACCCTTATCTTTGCAGGACAATTAAGCTTCTTTGAATCCTGAATGAGCTTTCTGCTTTTAGTGGATTCATAATTGTGATCATCATCCTTGCCCTCCAACAAACAATATCTCACAATTCATTTGGTAAAAAGGTATCATTAATGCTAAAATTTGATATGAAGTTGAGTCGCAGTTGATTATAAACACTTCAAGGAGACTAAGCCAGGTGGACAGACTGTAAGCATATTTTGGACCTGCTTTTGAATAAAACAGCCAATTTTTTCACACTTACTAGCCTTTTAGTACATGACAATAAGTTTCGAAAACATTCTGTAAAATTTATTTGGATTACATCTGTAGAAAGTACCAGTGATCGGTAATGAGTTGTAGCATACATCCTAAAATCTGCGGTAACGAAACCATTAAAATTTTCAAACTTGTGATACACCAGTATTTGGGACATATATTTTACACTGAATATCTACAGGCTATAAGAAAAACCTGGTACATTGTCATAACTCAACATGACGGGTTCCCAATTACATGCCTAATGTTGCCTGGATTTTTATCTATTGAACAAATTAAAAAAAAATGCTTTCGGTCTTGAGCTGGCTGTTTCTTTTCAACATTGAGTGTACCGAGGCAAGACAATTTATTGAACTAAACATGTGCCATTTAACATTTTGCTTTGACTACCTAAAACACTCACTTTAGTAGTTCTTATCTTTTTTCCATGTAAAGGTCCATGATGACACTCGTATACTTCACTTCCAGTCACAATATATGGCTCCCCAGTGTAATTGATTTCAACTAGGCCGCCCTTGTCTTCCCACCAAATCTTTTTATTGTCCAAGCTTTTTATATCTACAATAAAATATACTGATATAGTCATGCACCTTTAAACTTTAAGCAGTCGAATGCTTTATCTCAACAATTATTTTTAGTGTAGTGGTTATTTTGGAGGGAGACTCCCGAAAACGGGCCCAAAAATTGAGCATTTTAACCAATGCATTTTTCAAACTACTTTAATTTTCTAGATCTGATGATGTTATCTGAAAGAACAACTCAACAGATGCCATTTTAATAAAAGTTATATTTTCCCATTTGGGTGCATATATATACACATGTAGTGATGTTTTGAATTTAGAGAACATTTAAACTTCCCAAATGGAAATTTAATAACGCAATTTTCTATTCTGAATTAGCACAACTATATATCATACCTATTCCTCCATTACTTCGCTTTTTCTGACGCACAAATTTAGATGTTGTCTCAATCTGAAACGCCGCTATCGCCTTCTGAAACTCTTCCTCAGAGTAGTATATGTTTGCCTGTTTCAAAGTTAAACAATGACAATTAATTTCTTATGTGTTTTCAATTAAATCAACGTACATGTATGCTTATCATTAGCTAACATGTCAGTCTTTCACAGGAATGGAATGAGTTGAGCACAAGATATACATACATGTATGATATACACGCAGAGACACTTTTTCAGGATAACACTACTCATTGATCTCTTGTCTCAACTTCGGTTTGTGAAATAAAAAGGAAACATAATTGTGAGGAAAAAAACGGCGTAATAATCCTCGGCTTCAATAACTGAGCCAAAGCCAAGGAACCATATGCATATTACTATATATGTACAAGCACACCAACCTGCTCGTTTTTCACTACCCCTCCGTTTTTCTTGTGATTTACCAAATCTCACATGAGACACAATACCATTATCTGATAGATATTCCTGGGTGCCAGTGTGAACAGAGTAAACACATCCCTGCTGAGTGTCCTGACAGGAATCGAACGCGGATCTCTTGCAAGATAATTTATTTTCCTGTGTTACCAACTTAGCCACTGATGCGCGGACTGTTTATATCACTATTTGCTAGTATATTAACATTATAATAACAGTTAAATCCCATATGATATATGTACATGCATAAGAGTATGCTACAAATGTAAGTTNCCCCCCTTACCTCTCGATCAGAGTCATACACTTGACCTTGTGTATTGACGGACGCCTAAATTGTTTCTGTGGATGCTTAATACGTAACACAGTGATCACGTAAATCCCTAATGAACCTAAAATAATATAATTGCACAGTAATCACATCAATCCCTTAGGAATCTAATAACTGTTTAAATCAAATAAATGACATATAGTAATTGAGAGAATGTTTATGTTAATTATAGAGTTTCCTTTTGTTCCGTAGTTTGGAGGTAGAACATTAATTGCTGGCTGTCAGTGCACCGATGCTGGCCATTGAATTAATTGGTTTATGTCAGATAAGGCTTAGTATATGACCTGTCAGGGTAAGGGGATTCTGAACTTACGATGGCCGATATTGGTCGTCACTTTACTCGCATTGTCCATGACAGGTTACTTGCAAGTGATACTAGTAATAATGATGATACGAGTTATTGTTCACGGCTACAGAGTAGATACAAATTACACTTGCAAAATCGATTAACAATCCATGTTACAAGTTAAATAGACTTTTATGTCATTGTTGATGTCCAAATACTTTCACCGAATTAGCGAGTGTATGTGAAGTGACATATAAATCTAATCAACTTATAAACACTTATTGTAGAACGTTGGAATTCCACACATTTGTACATAATCATTTAACGTTTTAACTTGTATTTACCATATATTTACACCTTAAATACTGATCTTTTTCAAGTAAAGCAAAATAAAGATAAGAAAATTACAATATACAATGCATTTCCATTTAAACATATATATGGTTCATTCAAGTTCTGGACGAACTAAACAAAAGTTTTTTTTTTTAGTTTTATGGCATACTCTCTAGAAGTGTTGAAAGTATTGGCTAAAAACATGATTGGTAACTTTCAAGAGATAAGAAAAATGTATTCCACACAAAATGTCGTTTTTTAATCAAATAAGTACAATGCGATTTTAAAATTGTATGCTAAATATATTTGATGCTTTGCATCAATGTTTTCTTGTCTTTGTGGCCGTGTAAGTTACTCGTATCAATACGAGCTAAGTGACGTCTGATATTGGCAATCGTACCTTTAAACTAGAAACACGTCTATGTTAACCCTTGAGGACTAATACATCATTTAACACAGAGCTTTGTATTGAATATTTGTATCGGCGGGATTTTGAAGGTAACAATGACACCAGTATATGCACAATATTTTTCACGATGCACCATGCCACAATAACATAAGTTCTTTTTATAAGCAGTATCAAGTTCCAGAGTTACACAATAATCCGTTGGAATACGCAAGACACATCCAAAGGCACGTTTGACACTCCCCTATTCTCCACGCCAGTTATAAGAATTAGCCAATTCCAAACTGACACTTTACAGTTAAACGTTAAACCCAGTCCGGTGGTAATTTTAAGTGGTTTCTGCTTGTCGGATTTATGGGATGAATCTCTACTGGTTGTCGTTCTAGTAATCAGGCATGACTAAGTGGTGTTTTATGAGGGTGTTCTCGTTTCCCCAACGTTTTGGAGAAGACAGAAATGTGTTGATTTCGGAGGACAATGGCAAACTTATTATAGTCAGTAGTACACTTACCCCAAAATTCAAACATGTTATTTCACTTAACTGTCTGATATGTAGCTTTTGTGCATGTGATATCAATATCTTATATAATAATGAATTTTCGGGTAAATAAATAAATTCTAAGGGTATTTTTTTGTGTATAGAATTAATAAAACAATAAAAAGACAATAAATTGACTACGTTTGTCATACATGTGAAAATTGGACAAATATCATAGATCAATCAATAGTATCGATCAGAAGCATCACACAAAATCAAGAATTAATCAATGCATTTACACACGATACGATCATTACTAAAACTACTTTTACATTTAGTCTGTCATTTCAGTAAGATTAAAAGATATAAGCATCACTACATACTAGTGAATGTTAAGAAGTACTTGAATTAGATATCACATACAATTTCAATTTCTTAAGGAGCACTGTCCCACCGCATGTACGGCTGCCAAAAACTGTAACGTCGCTTTTGGAATTCTTTTTCAGCGGGACTTTAACTTTCTATTAGGAAAACCATACATTGATGAACTTCTGACTATGAAATGGGGGTGGTCGGGTGACGCAGTGGTGGCGCTCTTGCCTTTCACCAATGCGACCGGGGTTCGATTATAAATTAATCTTGAGCATATCTATGAATTCCATAGATACAAAATATTTCCTCATACAATATACCATCAAGGCCGAATCAATGACATTTGTTCATTTGAAATGAAGATTTGCAGTTTTTAAGTTTGTACATAACAAATGTAATAGCTATATATTAAAGTGAATTTACTAGTAACTCGCAAATAAAAAGTAAATCGCAGTTTACTTGCGTGATATGCTAACTTGCATAGGTTAATTATAACTTTTACATTTTCAGTTGATAGCGAAGGGTTTTTACGATAATAAGTTTTAATGTATTTGCTTAATGAGTTTTAAGGAACGATTTATATTTCTATATCTTCCACATTCAATTAAAAGATTTGTGACGACAGACGCAGTTTCACTAATGTTTATTAATACTTTACATAATAGGCTTGTAAACTTTCTTACACCTACATTACTGCCAATATACGTGTCAAGTAACAATGGCGTACACAAATTCAACAACATTGGTTTACCTGATCGTTTGAGCGCAAATTTGAAATTTCTACCTGAGCAGCCAGCTGCTTATGAGTTAAATTGAAATTCCCACCATAATTAATTTTTAACCCAGATAGCAAAATGAGTCTACAGTCTCGAATATACAAATGTAATGCCATTCATTTGGCAATCCTACAGCAGACTTTTCAAAGACTCCAATTTTATACAAGATACCTCATGTAGAAATCAAATGAGATATCTTAATTAAGTATATGAAATATCTTATATAAAATATACGATATATTATTTGATTATAAAGAGATATATATGTATACATACAAAACATCTTATATTATATATAAGATATCTCAGAAAATTATAAGATATCTTATATAGTAACGTGATTTCATATTATATAGGACAGTATATCTTGTATACGATATCTTATATAGTATATGACGTATATGTTATAAAATAGATATCATACGAGATATTTCATATACTATATTCTATATAGGATATCTAATATACATGTATTTTTTATGAAATTCGGGATCGACATTGCTCCTTGAATAAATGTTAAGCTGGCTTGGCATAATTATCGTCAAACCAGGGTTTATCGTCGCAATGTTTCGGGCTCCGACCGATATCTTGATAAACATTGATAAGTTTAGTGGAATAAACCCGAATGAAAAGGTGCCATGAGGTCGATAATAACCTAAAAATAAAACAGAAAAACTTTGATCGATTTCAACATTTGTGGACATATTATAGTCCACTACTAAATTATCAAAAATATGACGACTTTCGATGACTCCGTCATGACTTTCTTTAAAGTACAGAGTATTCCAACGGAACACTTTGTGAATACCATGCGAGTGAATATTTATCGCCAGTTTTCACATTAATAGTGCTACATTTCATCAAAACATGCAAAGGACTTTGATCCGATAACGCAATAAGATCAATTTGGTTATACGAGGTTATCAACGACGCTACAACACGTCGGGCGACAGTACGTGTACCTGTTTGAGTGACCTATCTAGTAAAATCATCGCTATTAGAGCGTCTTCTTTTAAAGTCGCCCACCAAAATAACTTTGCCTTTGTATGAAAATGTGGTTATTTCATATGCGAGTTTATAAAATATGTGTGTTGTACAGTCTTTAAAATACAGATCTGTCCGGTGGGATATATAAAACAACAGACATATATATCAGCATTATATTAGGTTATGTAACAGTTTAGTTTCATCCAACCAAGTGAGTCAAATGATAAACATAATTAGATTGCTATCTATGTCCGTGATCATTCTTAACAAATATCTAATCTGATTAATACAGTTTGTAAATAAGTAGTTATACACAGCTAGTTAAAACCTAATATGACAAGAGTGAAGTAAGATATGAATATTTAATATAGGAAAATCCCGAAAAAAATGAAACGCTTCTATAAAATCAATTACCGTAATTAGCAGTGAACAAGATAATTGATAAGAATTTTTGTGTATTTACCAAACTGCTGGAGGATCCTGCTTCAGTCATCTCGTTTAACAAGTCGCTGTTTTATGATAGGTAATGATGTGAACATCTGTATGTGTGAAATTCATTATCTCAACAAACCTTAGGGAGCCGCGCACCTCTTTTATGCGACTCTCATTAACACCTATTGACCAATCAAATTGGGCTCCATCGGCCTGGGTCCCGGATGAGGGGAGGGTGCTGTTGCACTAGCTAGTGGCTAGTCTACCCCCCTCCCCCCTCTTTACTCATGACGTAGATATTCCTATTCCTATACAGACAGTGGTCAGTCTAGTGTTAATGGCTCCTATCCTATCAGTGAACCCCAGTAAATTACACAAGGATTATATTAAAACATCCCACCGAACAGATTTGTACGATGGCCGACATGAGCCTGACAAAAAGATATGAATTTTCATATCTTTTTGTACCGTGGCACATTTTATATGGTACACAAAGATATGAAAGAAGAAATAAAATCAACCCGTTGCTTTTGTATCTTTCTGTACCAAAATAACGGCCGAAAACAGCCAGGGTACAGAAACATGTGAAACCATCAGAAAGGTTACCAAGTATGACAAACTACACCCTGATAAGTAAGGCTGCCATCACATACAATGAAATGTTATCGCACGGAATGTCTGTTAATTTGATTACACCACCAAACTATTACTTACTCATTTAAATTGAAATCATCTATTCAATATCCTTTACCGAATTTTATAAAAGTTTGACGTTAAAAAGGAAGTCATTAGGGATTATTTTTTTAATTCTTATATTTCTAATGTATTCTATCTGATTCAACTTCCCAAATGAAAGAAACTCCAAATAAGTTGAAAACGACGACGGGGTCCGTAGGGTACAAGGGGAAAAAAGGGACAATCAATCTTTTATATTCTTGACATCTATTAAAACAAGGGAAATGACAAAAATATACAGATGTTCTTTATCCCTTTAGGAGACCCTGTCAAGGCCCCAATACTAACACAATTGCAACTAACTCCGTTTTTTATCAGAAATGATTAATGAACTTCACGACTTGTTTCGACGTTGTAATTAGGGCTTCACTATTCGGGGTCAGTTCTGGTAGTAGTGTCCGATAACAACATTCCGATGCTCTGGTGGTACAAAAAGAAATGAAAAAAAAGTGTAATGCGTGATTTCATGATACACTTTTTCATGTCTATTTTTACCGTAGGTGGTACAAAAAGAAATGAAAAACGTGTAACGCGGTACAAAAAGGAGATAAGCTTTCATATCTTTTTGTACCGGGCAAAAGTGTACCTAGGTACAGAAAGATATGAAAATTCATTTTGCCGGCTGATATCGGCTGTTGGTACAAATATATACATGTGAAAGCAAAGAGTTTTGTTCTGTAAAGTTGTTTATAATCTTTATGTACCATGGTACACGTTTACATGGTACACAAAGATTGAATTTTCAAATCTTTATGTCCCATATAAAAGTGTACCGTGGTACAAAAAGATATGAAAATTCACATCTTTTTGTCAGGCTCCTGTCGGCCTTCGTAGATCTGTATTATATAGACTATACACCTGACAGATTTAATGAACTCGCAAATGAAATCGAAATCGCGACGAATCTACTATCACTAAAAGTTATATATATATCAGACTGCACTTTACTGAAGTATTTATATGGAAGTGCGTGATTTTCTCCCCTGTAATAGATATATATACCAAGCTGCCCTGTAGTGGATGAGATGCGTAAAATCTGTTTTCTGTAATAGTTATATATACCAAGCTGCCCTGTAGTGGATGAGATTTGTAAAATCTATTTTCTGTAATAGTGATATATACCAAGCTGCCCTGTAGTGGATTAGATGTGTAAAATCTATTTATCTGTAATAGTTAGATATACCAAGCTGCCCTGTAGTGGATGGATTTGTAAAATCTATTTTCGGTAATAGTTATATATACCGATATGTCCTGTAGGGGATGAGATTTGTAAAATCTCCTTTCAGTAACAGTATATATACCAAGCTGCCCTGTAGTGGATGAGATTTGTAAAATCTATTTTCGGTAATAGTTATATATACCGATATGCCCTGTAGGGGATGAGATTTGTAAAATCTTCTTTCAGTAACAGTATATATACCAAGCTGCCCTGTAGTGGATGAGATGTGTAAAAT